GTCAAATTATTGATAGAAATGTTCATCAACGATATCCGTCGAGGGAAAGTGGAATTAAAAATATGCCTCCACCAACAAACGCGACTACGTTACAAGCTTTTCTAGGACTGGCTAATGACTATCAAATATAAGTACATAATATGCATAATTCGAGAGCCAAACGGAACGATCTACTTAAAAAAGGAGTAAAGTGGAACTGGAATGATAATTGTCAAAAGGCGTTTGATGAAATACAAAAAAGATTTATGTCAGATTTATCATTAGCACACTACGATCCAAAATCAGAAATTGTAGTGGCGTCAGTTGCTAGTGAGTACGGTACTGGAACGGTGATTTTACACAAATACTATAGCGATAAAATGAAAGCTTTTGCTGATGCTTCACGCTCCCTTCTACCAGAAGAGAAAAATTACAACCAGATAGAAAAAGAGGCTCTAGCAATTATATTTTCATAGGCTACAACACTGGGGTACCATTTTATTAAACTATGATTTTACGATCGAGTACCAACCGTCTGAAAAATTAGGACCTGTAGATGGATTATCAGGATTAATAACCAAAAATGCAGAACGATTTGAGTACACCGTCATGACAGCACTAAAAAGCAAAATGGAAATTAAAAAAAAGCATTTTGTGCATCGTAGCATGAGAATTACCAGTTTCCCTGGAAGAAATAGAAAAAGCGGAAAATGACGTTTTTATTGCGAAAATGAAAAATCGATTGAAAGAAAGTAAGAAAGAACGAAATTCAGACGTAAACGCTTATTCGCTATGCAACGGTGTAGAAATATTCGGTGAAAAGGTTGTAATACCTAATGTGTTACAGAAGCAAATATTGAAGGATTTTCATAGTGGACATCCTGATATTTCAAGAAGGAAATCTCTGATGAGAAGTTTCGTATATTAGACCAGAATGGACCAAGATATTGAAGAAAGAGTGGAAGATTGCAAAGGTTGTGATCTAAGCAAAACTACCTTTCAAAAGATAGAACCTTGGTCAAACACAGACACGCCATGGACAAGACTGCATATAGATTTTGCAGGAGCTATGAATGGATCACATTATCTTGTGGTAGTTGATAGTTTCACTAAATGGCCGGATATTTATGAGTGCAAAAATCCAACATCTTCAGTGTCATTGAATTTCTTGCATGCACTGTTTGCTAGATATAGCATACCAGATAACATAGTCTGTGATAATGGAACGCAATTCACGGGTAAAGAATTCGAAGACTTTTGTAAGATGTTCTCCACTGAACATATATTATCCAATGTCGAAGGGACAAGCGGAACTCTTTATGGGAACGTTAAAAAAAGCGTTGATAAATGCAAGTCTTGAGAAAGTAAATGAGGGAGCACTTCAAGATTTTCTGAGATTTTACTGTGTCACACCTAACCGCAATACTTCCACAGACATGTCTCTGGGGGAATTAATATTTGCTAGAAAAGTAAAATCGATGTTCGCTAAGCTATGACCAAGTCGAAAAACACGAACAGATAACAAAAACGACATCAAACGTTTCAAGATGTGCGGTAAAGTGTTCTTATAAAGAGTTTATAAGGATACCAAAGAAACGCGGGATGACGGTGTAATATCAGCAAGAATTGGGAATTCATGGTAATAAGGGAAAATATTTCAACATAAAAGTCACCATAATCAGCTGAAGAAAAAGGTTCATCGATGAAAGATCTGAAATATTGGAAGAATCGATAAAAATGCTATGTTTTTGATGTGCCAGCACCACAATAAGTCGTGGAGCCTACAAGGACAAGAAAAAGAAAGCGTACAGAAGTGGATCCGAGACGGAAAACGCTGTAAAATCAAGTACGTTGGCGAGCTCTTCAGAAATAGGACGGGGCGGGGGTATTAATACTAATAAAAAAATAAAATATTTATAAAAAGTCTTAATCTCAAAAGTGGGGTTATGTTGTGGTGGCCATATGAACTAGTCCATAGGAAAAAAGAAGCTGTTTGGAGTCAGGCGATTCACTGCCAGGCTAGCAAAAGGCTGGCCAAACTCTCTGCCTTCGGACAGAGAAGAACGCAGACGAGACTATGCCTACAGACAGAGATTATCTGGAAAGGAAGACAAACCCGCCCCCTATGTATGCGGAGTCTACGGGGAAATTTCTGCCCGAGCCTGCCCCACATAAAAAAACCGGTATTGTGCCACATCCTGCTTTGTGAGGAGATTTGGATCAATACCAGAAGCTGTTTGGGGTTAGTCTTCAGGCTAATTAATTCAAGCAGGTTAGGGTCTAAAAGTTCTGAAAGAGAATGAAAATAAAATTATAAGCAAAATCAGAAATAGCTACACTTCTAACACATATTAAACATGATGAACATAAACAAAAATGACCTTAGATATATATACCTTAGATATTGAAGTCAACACTTAGAAGCGACAGTCTGTTTCATGCTAGACGTCGCCTGACGATTACGTCTAGCATGAAACAGACTGTCGCCTTTAAGTGTTGACTTCAATATTCACTTTTATATTTACACACGCTCTATCTCTGATATTGAGCACTTTATCCCATAAATATAGCAGACCTTAAGGATATATTTCTTCATATATATATATATATATATATATATAATTATTTATTTAAAAATTATAACATAAATATGTTATAAAATCACTACAAAAATAGCCATTTTGTTTCAACACCTCCAGTGTCTTATCAAGTGATGAAGTTGAATGTAGAATAAATAGTTTTAAATGTTTCTAATTAATTAAGGATCCTTCCCCTGGCGAAGGATCGTTAATTAATTTGAAACAAGTGGCGACGAGGATGGGATCACTTGTTATGGTCCGGTTCCTTGTATCACGGGTGATAGTCCAAGGTAGAACCAATAAAGAAGAACTCGAACACAGGTATGGAATAACACAGATATATTACAAACAGGAATATATGCAGAGAAGTAGAAGTGTTAGTACGAACAATCAGGTTTAATAGAGAGAACAATGTAGTCTCAACCAGTATCACTATTCCAATGTCTTGAAGTAATTGTCTGAACGCGACTCTGTTTCGGACTGCCTCTGACTCGACTTGAACTACTGACGATATTCAGTCACCCCCCCCCCACGAGGGCGTCATGTGGTGCAAGGCCTTTTTAACGTGGGATCTCCGAGCTCGTAGGCTCGGCCAAAAATATGAACATTGAACCCGTATACACGGATTCAGGGTCGGTTTACCTCCCCGAAAGAGAATCCGCCCTTTGGCGTAGCCTCGTTCGGGTCCTCCCTGCTCGAAGGCAGAGAGTTCAACCGATCTGTCGTTCAAGACTTGAGCGACTGACGATATTCAGTCACCCCCCACACACACACACACTGGGGCATCATGTGACACAAGGTCGGTTATTCATTGTGAGTTCTCCGAGCCCGTGGGCTCGGCCCAAAAATATGCCCATTGAACCCGTAAAAAACGGGCTCAGGGCCGGTTTATTTCCCCGATCGAGACTCCGCCCCTCGGCGTAGCCTAGTTCGGGTTCCTCCCGCCCGAAGGCAAGAGTTCAACCGAACAGTCGGTTCAGAAGTGAACGACTGACTCCTTGCCTACTCCTGAGGCGCAGTATTTACTAAGTATGGAATAGTCCATTATTATTATTATGGGTACGATCCCATAACAATATATATATATATATATATATATATATATATATATATATATATATATATATATATATATTAAGTACAGAAGATCCTTAAGAATCTATTCGGTTATAATTTATTTGATGAATATTCAAATATTCATCTCCTCAGACCGAAGTGTTTTTTTTAATAAATGGAACCAATTTGTCATGGCAAAAGGACGAGGGAGAGCAAAAAAGAAAAAAATATATTAAAAACGGAAGAAAGAAAATAAAAATTTCAATATAAGACTTCAGAAAATTTGGGGGAGGGATAGAGGAAAAAGAGGGGGAGGGGAGAGAGAGAAGGAGAAAGTGAAAGAGCGAGGGAATGAAAATAAAGGAAAGAAGAATTAAACGTGAGCTGATAGGGTGACCTAGAAATGATTTTTCTTTCTTTAAGAGCTGAACAAGTTAATATACAGGGTAAGAGAGGAGTTGATCAGATTAAAATAGATATAGTAATCTGTCTAAAAGTCATATCATTTTCGACAGTAAAGGAATCATCATCGCATTATAAACATCACAATTTCAAATTAATAATAATAATATTTGAAATCAATAAAATTAAGTAAGTTAAATAAAAATTTAAAATATATTAAAAATATATAAAAGAATATAAAAAATATTAATTAAATAATTAAATAGATTAAAAGATAAATAAAGAACAAATTTAAAGAACTTAAAGTATGTACACACACACACACACACACACACATATATATATATATATATATATATATATATATAATACGTGTATGTATGTGTCTGTCTGCTTTCCTTAACGTGCATATATCTGTATGTAGATAAATAAATTGTCGTTTGTGTTTATTAGTTGGTTAGATTTGGTCATTATGTTCAATCCTATATGTGTATATATTTGTGTGTTTATTTGTGAGGTGAATGTGTAATTATGTTTGAGAACCTAAGAAAGGAACGGAAGTAAGAGAGATAATGATAAAAAAAAGAGCGGGTAGGAAAACAGAGCGATATATAAAAGAGAGATACAAGTAAAAATGCAAGAGAGAGAAGAGAAAGAAATAGTAATAGAGAGAACGGATATAGAGAATAAGAGAAATCAAGAGAGAAGCTCGTGAGAAAGAGGAAGATTTTCTTGTTATATATTAAGAGAGTGGAGGAAGAGGGAAAAAAAGAAACAAAAGATAGACGAAAGATAGAGAAAGCGAGAGAGATAGAAAGAGCTTGGATTGGAAAGAGAGAGAAAGTCATTCAAGTAAATAACCTTGGCTATTCGGATTAAAGGTAATCTGATTCTTCGTCCATGTCCACGCCGATAATCCCAACAGGAAGAATCTGGCAGGCTGAGGTTGTTGTTGTTAACGGTGACGGTTTTGCGGGTGTGGGGATGGGTTGTATTCCATATCCATCCCAACAGCCCCTGACGAATGCAAAATGCAACCATCTCCATGGCGCTGACAATCAGATGTGAGACACAGCTTAATTGGAAGTCGGCACATCGACAAACTTAGATTACAACAAATCAGAGAAAACTAATCTATTCGCGTTCCACAGTCCTCCACCATTTCCACCCGACCGGTCCCGTCCCACCAAATCCAGCCTGGTTGACACTGGAAAGTAAGGCAAATACGGTGGCATCGAAGAAAAACTTGAAAATTGAGAACGCCATCTATGAACATTAAGCGCCGTAGGATCTGGCAAAAAGGGGAGATAACCAGACCATTTCTGCGGTGAATGATGCACTATCCATTAACGCGTGATTCCTTTTGCTATTAAGTTCAGTTTCTCTAGTAATTATCCTGTCAATAACTGAATGGATCTTGCATTCTGTCGGACCAATTAGAAAGAAGAAATATTAATAAATATTGCGAAAGTTAAGTAGATATTTCAGCACTCAGTCAAGATTGAACTCTAAATAAAAATTTGGTCTGCCATGTAATCTCATTCCTCTTATATGGCACTGAATTCTGGACAATCTCCTTGCAGATGAAGAGATCACTGGAGACAAAAAAAAACCCCCAGAAAGGCAGTTCTTCAAAGGGATTTGAGAGTTCCAATGACGGAGCGTGTACGCAACTAAAAATCATAAGAAAAATGAAAACAAAAACGGTACTTAGACTGAAAAAGAAGCATATAAATTTTTTAGGAAACATAATGAGGAAGGAGGGTTTAGAGAATTTGACACTCACAGGATATATCGAAAACAAAAGGTGGCAGCTGACCACTTAAATGAGGTTCTTGTGTGAATGAATAGCGGAATGGGGGATGGAAGTCTTGACAAAAAAGACAAAAGTTACGAAGAGATACAAGCTATGGGAAAATGTGGAGAACCATGATCGCCAACTTTCGAAAGTGTCATGTTTCATAGAAAAATGATTTGGCATTGAATACTGGAAAATTTAATCACAGATGAAACAGAGACCTGAGATGTGGTTCTGCAAATGAATACAGAGAATGTCATGGAAGGAACATGCGAAGAGTGAGGAAATTTTCAAGAAAACGAGAACGAAAAGGACACTGCGAACTTAAGAAGAAAAAGAAATGACATTTATAATGAGGAAAGATGGCTTGGAGAATTTGACACTCACAAGATATACTGGAAGCAAGAGGGAGACAGCGTCTAACCTATCCCTTCTGTCAAGCTTGTGTATATGGATGTCCGAACAGGGAGGGACAGCAAAGGGTCAAAGGTTGGATAGTTTGAATAAAGAAATAGAAAGTAGTGGAAAACCATGATTAGTCACGCCCTTGAACTACACATCACACACATGTGTGAAAATATATAGAAAATAGGAAAGAACTCGTTAGGTAAATAATCCAAAGTTCTTTAGTATTTTTGTTATTATTTTTAAAAAATAGTGCTCGATACAAAAGTAGAGCCTAAATATAATTAATTGATACCCAAAATTATTATATAATTATTTAATTCCAAAAATTTCGCTTGAAGATACTTAAATTCAATTTAATTCAAATAATTATATTGAAGGTTTCGGCTCTTGTTTTGAAACATGAGAACTCTTAGGTAGCGAAAGAATCATATTTTTAAATAAACAATCATATATATATATATATATATATATATATATATATATATATATACAAGCGTGTCACACTAAAACCTTTTCCACTTTGTCATATAAAAAAGAAATTTATGTATCGTTTTCCTATATCTATCTATATCTATCTTTCTATCGATCTATTTATCAATCTGACTCTCCATATATATATATATATATATATATATAGATACAGGAAAATGTTACATAAGTTGTTTATTTTTGTATATCATGACTAATTTTAGGGAAGAGAGTATAATAATGTGTAAAAAGAGTTTTGTGTGACGCACTTTTATATATATATATATATATATATATATATATATATATATATATATAAATGTGTGTGAGTGTGTATATGTGTGTGTGTGTGCGTGCGTGTTTAAAAATGAGAAAACATAGCAAAACTGATCTCAAAGGAGAATATTATTAAATATCGAATCATTTCGTGCAAGACATATACCACTGACTTCATGTTAATTCATTTTATAAAAAAGAAACTTTTCTACGTAAATTCGTAATTAGACAAAATATTTTGGGTCGTGGAACAAAGAAAAGCATATTAATACATGTAAATTTCAGTAGTCCTAAATAAATCTATATGTATAATTATATATTATAAATTATATAAAATTATATTAAATTAGCATCTCCTTTGTCTATGAAGTACTGTCTGATGACATATACTTCAGATAAAACATATCTTTGTATTGTACAATATTAATTCGTTTTGTCACATTGGACTAACGATGCATCTATAAAAATAACTTTTGTTCTTCTGTTTAACTAAATTTCTTCTATTCAATTATTTTACAAAAATCATTTTCATATTTTAGGAGAAAATATAAATATATCACTGTATATATATATATATATATATATATATATATATATATATATATATATATATATATATAGTTTGATGAGGTGACTGTCCAACTTTCCCTGTAATATAATAAGACAGATACCACATAACAGTTCAGTAAACTTTTCTTTGTTTCTAACGAAGTTTTCTTGTTTCTTGATACTCTGCTTAGCTTTTACAACGCATATTTGAATGCTCCTTCGGAATTTAGTGGAAGTATTCTAAAGGTAGCAGAATGCTGTAACCTAGAAAGGGTTACTGAATGAGGAATAACAAAAACGGAGTTTGGAAATGAAATGGTAATCTTTATAACATCAACAAAATACAATACTCGCCAGCGGCATGAAATAGGTAAACCACTGCTTGTGGTGGACTACTTAGACAGCCCATTGCCTCCACTTACAAAAATGTCCAAAGTATTTAAGAGGATTGGGACATACCTATTAGAGTCATAGGTACGGTATATAACACTATCTATCTATCTATCTATCTATCTATCTATCTAGGATACAGAGTTTATCTGTCATCTGTTACTTACGAAATTGAATGCTAGCCTCAAGTGTCATCTTAGGGGGCATAAATAAACAGCGAAACGAAGCCATCTATCTATCTATCTATCTATCTATCTATCTATCTAATTCCTATTCACATCTATTTATCTACCTGTCTGTCTGTCTGTCTAATTCCAATTCATATCTATCTATCTATCTATCTATCTATCTATCTATCTATCTATCTATCTAGGATACAGAGTTTATCTGTCATCTGTTACTTACGAAATTGAATGCTAGCCTCAAGTGCCATCTTAGGGGGCATAAATAAACAGCGAAACGAAGCCAATCCATCTATCTATCTATCTATCTATCTATCTATCTATCTATCTAATTCCTATTCACATCTATTTATCTACCTGTCTGTCTGTCTGTCTAATTCCAATTCATATCTATCTATCTCTCTATCTATCTATCTATCTATCTATCTAGGATACAGAGTTTATCTGTCATCTGTTACTTACGAAATTGAATGCTAGCCTCAAGTGTCATCTTAGGGGGCATAAATAAACAGCGAAACGAAGCCATCTATCTATCTATCTATCTATCTATCTATCTATCTATCTATCTATCTAATTCCTATTCACATCTATTTATCTACCTGTCTGTCTGTCTGTCTAATTCCAATTCATATCTATCTATCTATCTATCTATCTATCTATCTATCTATCTATCTAGGATACAGAGTTTATCTGTCATCTGTTACTTACGAAATTGAATGCTAGCCTCAAGTGCCATCTTAGGGGCATAAATAAACAGCGAAACGAAGCCCTATCTATCTATCTATCTATCTATCTATCTATCTATCTATCTATCTATTATCTATTCAATTCCTATTTATTTATCTACCTGTCTGTCTGTCTGTCTAATTCCAATTCATATCTATCTATCTATCTATCTATCTATCTATCTATCTAGGATACAGAGTTTATCTGTCATCTGTTACTTACGAAATTGAATGCTAGCCTCAAGTGCCATCTTAGGGGGCATAAATAAACAGCGAAACGAAGCCATCTATCTATCTATCTATCTATCTATCTAATTCCTATTCACATCTATTTATCTACCTGTCTGTCTGTCTGTCTAATTCCAATTCATATCTATCTATCTATCTATCTATCTATCTATCTATCTATCTAGGATACAGAGTTTATCTGTCATCTGTTACTTACGAAATTGAATGCTAGCCTCAAGTGCCATCTTAGGGGGCATAAATAAACAGCGAAACGAAGCCATCTATCTATCTATCTATCTATCTATCTATCTATCTATCTATCTATCTATCTAATTCCTATTCACATCTATTTATCTACCTGTCTGTCTGTCTGTCTAATTCCAATTCATATCTATGTATCTATCTATCGATCTGAGGTAGCCTAGAAAACGTTACTGAATAATCAAAACGAAGGTTGGAAATGAAATGTTAATCTTTATAACATCAACAAAATACAATACTCGCCAGCGTCGTGAAGTAGGTAAACCACTGCTAGTGGTGGACTTCTTAGACAGCATATTACCCCCACTTTCAATCGTGTCCAATGTATTGATGAGGATTGGGACACACCCATTAGTGTTCATAGCTAAGGTATATAACGCAGAGATAGACAAACGACGTCTACAGTATAGATCAGAATAACAGATTGAAAAACATGTAGCATTGGGAATCGATTTTTCTTAGTAATGGTAATAGTAATATTAACTGTTTTCTTATATTGTGTTCATATATATATATATATATATATATATATATATATATATATATTATATATTTATATTTTAATTTCAGGGCGCAATTCTAGAATGTCTAAAATTGTGGGGCGCACTCCAAATTTTAATCAGGAAAATTAGTCATGAAATTTGTAAATACGAGAATAATAAAGAAGTCTGTCTATATTTTTGAGATGAAGTATTGTAACTAGATTATTGACATTGTTGTGCTCATCTTTATTGCCTTATTCACGAAGTTTCGGTTACTGTACGCTTCGGTCTTCTTCAGGTGATATAAGACTGCAGAAACACTGTAAAGTCGTAACACGAGGGGAAATAGCAAAATCAGGTGTGACTGACCATATATGAAGGGAAAAGGGAGTTCACCGCCCTCTGTGGGACGAGTTTGAAATAATAGATATAAAAAATTAAACTTAAGGAACCAGCGCATATTCCAGGCCACAAAAATCCGGCCTAGCATAGAAATGAATACAATATGGAAACCAGTACTACAGAGAGAGAAAAACAGCAATAAACAAAAAATCGTTATATGAATTCTGGTAAAAAAAGGTTACACGGACATTAGGTTTATAAGTCCCCAAAATGAATTCACATGATCCAGTGGATAAAAACATTTGATTGAAGTAATCCAGTGACTTGCTCCAAAGGGTTGTGAGTTCAATACCTGACAACAGCGGAGGAGAACAACAACTTGGAAAGTTGAGTTACTAAAGGCAAATGATTGAAACGGAGATATCCAGAAAAGGCATGGCACGTGGAACTAGAACAATGTAGGTCAGTTTCAATAAATATATCTTACTGCAAAAACATTCACTTTTATCTTTCTGGCCAATTCTAATATTCACCGTCCCATCTGATAATTTTTTTACTTTTCTTTTTTTCTTGCAAGGACAATATTTCAATACAATAAGCATTTTACGTTGGCCATTTTTCTCTTATTGAAATATGCATAAAAACAATACCAGTTCTTATTCCTCCACATTTAAATACGCTCTATTCCTTTCGTTAAGCACGTTTACTTTTAATATAGCGTAACTTAAAACTATATTTTTATCATAAGGTATTATGTATATTTATTAATATCGATCAAATAGTTCTGTTATTTAATACTGAGCACTGTTAAGGAAAAGCTTAACACATCACGAAAATACGGTAATAAATCATCATTTATTTCGACCAGTAAAAAAGAGCTCAAATATGATTATCCACTGAAAATAACGTCTAGTGATAGAAATATGTTGGATTAATAAATTAACAAAAACCATTACAAATAGGGTAAATTACAAGAAATTTGGCGGGATTTTAAAAGGATTATTTCCACGAATTGTGGAAAGGTCAATTAAATAGAAAGGTGATGTGTCAATGTGTTGATTCCTTTGTCTTCACATTATCTATCTATCTATGTCCAGAAAGATATAAGTATATTCATATCTATCTATCTATTTATCTATCTATCAATATATCTATCTATCTATCTATCTTTTTTCATTATCTATCTAGCAATCTGTCTGCTTCTATCTATCTATGTCCAGAAAGATATCAGTATATTCATTTCTACCTATCTATCTATCTATCTATCTATCTATCTATCTATGTCCAAAGACATATAAGTATATCCATATCTATCTGTCCATCTATCTATCTGCCTATTCATTATCTATATCTTCACAATCTATTCATCTATGTCCAGAGAGATATAAGTATATCCATATTTATCTATCTGTTTATTATCTATCTAGCAATCTGTCTGTCTTATTCTTTCTTTCTTTCTTTCTATCTATCTATGTCCATAGATATATAAGTATATTTATATCTATCTATCAATCTATCTATCTACCTATGTCTAGAAAGATATAAATATGTTCATTCTATCTATCTATCTATCTATCTATCTATCTATCTATCTGTTCATTACCTATCTAGAAATCTGTCTGTTTCTATCTATCTATGTCCAGAAAGATATCAGTATATTCATTTCTATCTATCTATCTATCTATCTATCTATCTATGTCCAGAGATATATAAGTATATCCATTTCTATCTGTCTATCTGTCTATTCATTATCTGTCTATTCACAACCTATCTATTTATCTATGTCCAGAGAGATATACGTATATCCATATCTGTATATCTGTTTATTATCCATCTAGCAATCTGTCTGTCTGTTTCAATCTATCTATCTATATCCAGAGAGATGTAAGTATATTCATCCGTTCGTCGGCTGAGCACTTTGGAAGAAAGTGTATTTGACGGCTGCTGATGCTATGATACTAATCTCTTCGTAATGAATAAAATACCCTGGCAGCTGATAATTCTTACATCACGTACATAATGCGTTAAAAATTCCATTTCCCGTAGCGTGCGCTGATAGCCTAGGAGTAAGTGTCGATCCCGTCTTGAAGCAATTGCGTGTCTAGACACACTGAAGAGCTGCGATACAGCGTAACAGTCTGTCTGTTGATGACTATATATATATATATATATATATATATATATATATATATATATATATTTTGTGTGTCTGCCTATTCATTATCTATCTGTCTGCCAGTTGATATCTATCTATCTAGCTAGCTAGCTAGTTATTTAGCTATCTGTTTGTCTGTCTGTCTTCATATTTATCTATACCCCAAAGATGAAGCGAAATATATATGCTGGGAAAATTGAATGGTTCACACATGTTTCGTTCCACAGAGTACCTGACTCAACCTGCCATTGCAAATATCAGATTAGACCTAGAGTATATCTGGACTGGAGATGCCCAATTCTCACTTTCCCGACATGATAAACCCCAAAGTCGGTTACGTGTAGGGGATGGCATATTTTTGACACTCTTGCCCCTCCCATCGTTTAAACAGGTTCAGTATTACCTGTCTTTCTTTACTCTTATCGCTATTCGCATGGCAAATGATTGGACCAGATCCATTCCCACCAATTCAGAACTTTACATCTAAGAATTGCGATGCGGTATTTACAGAATGGAACCACTTATGTTCTCTAAGTAATGGCAAGACAGAAGTTTCACTCAGTTTTTATTTATATATTGCAAGAAACACTTCTTTGTAGAACAGACGCTATTGTGGATGATTAACGAAATTTACAATCTTAAATCTTTTAAAGTCAGTGGTCAGTCGTTATTTTTCCTCTCTATCCTCAAGATCCACACTTACTACATCTACCTTCTCTCTCTCTCTCTCTCTCTATATATATATATATATATATATATATATATATATATATATTAGATAATATTAGTGGTCAATACATACATATTGTATTGACCATTAATATATATCAATATATATATATATATATATATATATATATATATATATATATTAGTAATAATCTTATAAATATAAGAAATTATATTCGTCCGGAAAACCTTCGGTGTCTTGATTTGCAAATAAACAAACCAATACCAAAGGGAAAAAATAAGGTATAAAAAAAGAAAGAACAAAGAACATGTACGTTTGCCGAAAATAATCGTCTAGCATCCAAGTCCAGAATCCAAAGAAAAAGACCCCGATACGAGTAAGCAAAATAACTAAATAAAGTGCTCAATACATTGAGTAGAGCAAACCTAAAGAGCCAGACAAACCTATCAAGGTTTCATCTACGCGGATCGTCAGGGAGTGCAGGCTAAAAAGGTAACGTAAGAATGGAATATATAGCCTACGAACATAAAATCATGACCACGTGACCAGCAAAAAAAATAATCAGACAACGGGGTGGGGGGTTAATTATATATATATATATATATATATATATATATATATATATATATATATATATATATATCCAAGAAGATATAATCCACGTAGATCTCTATGTCATTACTATTCTTATGAAATAAATTATAACCATGAAATATTAGTGCTTCAGATATATATATATATATATATATATATATATATATATATATATATATATATATATATATATATATATATATATATATATATATATATATATATATATATTTTGTGTGTGTGTGTGTGTGTGTTTTTATGCCTTTTCATCCACCTATATTCTACATCATTGAATTAAATAATCGAATGACTGAAGAAATTTCTTTAAATATCTTGGATAATTCCAGGTGGCTTTGCGGTTTTTCACGTCGACGTTAATCCGCTTGCAGTTGATTCGGTCCTAATCCATGACAATCCGATTACAATCTCTAATCAGCTGCGGACAACCCTTTGATCGGCAAAATATATTCACCGAAGATACGATACACAAGAAAATGAATTTGGTGTGGTGACATTAAGAGACAATCTCCTGTCGCCTATATTAAAGTAATTCTTTCGCATAATAGACATATTGCGCGTGTGTTTGTGTAGATGTGAGTGGAAAGCTTGTACTTTGGGTAAGTAATATATTTATTAATGTTATGACGAAATAGATAACTGGAGGGACACTAGAGTAATGGATAGTGACTAGGACTATGTTCGAATTACAGTGCAAATACTTACTTTCCCTTGGGAAAAAAGGTATAAAGATATCACTTCGTCCTCAAGCTATGGGCAAAGAACAGGACATACTGGGTCCTATCGACTTGGGTGGAAACCGACTTAAGAGAAGGGCAAATCTCAATTCAAAACTTCCAACTATGGGTTAAGTAGACTCACTAACCCGCAATTGGCCAAGTGTGGTGAGTATAGATACACCCCTGAAAACATGATTAATCAGAATGGAGTCCTTCAAAACGACTGAGAACACCAAAATTGTCGAAACAGCAAAATTTTCCGATTGTTAGATTAAGATTTGAACGACTCCATTCTGATTAATCATATTTTCAGGGGTGTAGCCATACTCACCACGCTTGACTAATTGAGGGTTAGTAAGTCTACTTAACCCATAGTTGGAAGTTTTGAATTCAGGGTTGCCCTTCTCTTAAGTCGGTTGCCACTCAAGTTGATAGGACCCAGTATGTCCTGTTAAAAGTGATTAAAGATATCTTACTGGAATTCTCCAATGTTTTTATAACACTATTGGACTCTACCTAAATATTTTCATAGAAAATATTCGTCCTTTAACAGGATTCGAACCTGCAGCCTATACGGAACCGTCATTTAGCTTGACGTGCCTAACCTCTCGGCCACAAAAGGATCGTTGGCAAGGTCGAATTTACTGCCTATAAATCTTCAATCTTCCATGAATCTCGTACATTCATAACTGCTCGTGGCGTATCAAATGTAAACAAACGTTTAACGTCATACATTAAGAAATGGACAAAGTCCGACAATTTATTAAAGACATTTTTATGTTTAACATTCTTTTTATAGATACAAATATTTAAGTAAAGGCTCTGTTTATAATAAACAGTATTAAATAACATTTACCGGCCTGAAAATTTTCTATGAAAATTTCTCGGACATTCAGGCCGGTTAATGTTATTTAATACTGTTTATTATAAACAGAGCATTTACTTAAATACTTGTATCTATAAAAAGAATGTTAAACATAAAATGTCTTTGATAAATTGTCGGACTTTGTCCATTTCTTAATGTATATATATATATATATATATATATATATATATATAATATAAATAAGTCGATCTTGAGCTCAACACTCAGCGGTTAAGTATGAAACAAAATATGGCCGCTGGGTGTTTATCTCAATGTCCACTTTTATATTTACACACAACAATATGACAAAGTGGGAAAAGTTTTCGTTTGATGCGTTTCGTCATTTAAGGCTTCATCGGACTAAATTGATGCTTATGATGAAGCGACTACACATGCACATGAATGAAAAGGGATGCCGAAAATTTTAAAATTTCATTTTGAGGGTTTTTTTTTAAATATATGGTTTACATCTACACTCTAGCCTATTTTATTTTGGTTATTTTTCTTTTTATGTTTCCATCATTTTTATAATTAAATATCCAACATTGTGATAATAGAAAATCTGCCAAGAATGGTGAAACGTTGTAAGAACCTAGACACACATTTACTGTAGGTGACCTAGTGATTAAAACACTTTCTAAACATTTTCGTCTTAGTATTTCTTTTCTCTTTTAATCAGAGTCGCATTTTTTAATCCAATTTTTTGTCAGTTTCCTTACGGTGTACAACAAATGCATTCATCTTTTGTTTTTTGGGGTTTTTTTTTTTTTGTAAAATATCACTTTTGTCTTCCTATATTTTATTTAACTTTCTTGAGGTTTCTCCTATGAATTCTTTATGGCAATTATTAAGGGTAATAGATTAAATTCCTCCTTCAAGTTTTAGCTTATTAATTTGTTTGGTATTAAGTTTTTTTATTATTATTTTAGGCGTATTTGTTACAAATGTTTTACTATGTTTAGATAAAGTCGTTCCAATTTCAGTTGTGATAGATTTGGTATGTATAACAATATATTTTGATTCGTCAGGTTTGTCAGGAAAGACTTCTGTTCTATTTCTAAATATTTTATGTGCTTTTTCTTTCGCGATGAATATGAAATAATTAGGGTATTGAAGGAACTTAAAAGTTTTTTCGTGTGTTTCTCCTCTTCGGGAAAATACTGAGGGCTACACATTCTGAATGCTCTTAAATTGAATCTAATGCTTATTCCGGATTTTATTTTGTTGTTATGGTGAGTATAGAAATTTATGAGATCAATTTAATAGTTGCATTGTGATGGATACTAGGTTTTAAGCTACTGGTAGCACGGTGTAACATGATATCTAGGAATGGTAAAGTATTGTTTGTTTCCATTTCATAAATAAATTCTACTGTATGTTCGACTATGACTAGTTTATGTACAAGATCAGGTAATCCAGTTCTACGGATATATATTAATAGAGTGTCATCAGTATCTCGGAACTATGTTGATTATTTAGGTAAAATATATTTGAAAGGATGAGATTTAAGAAATTCTAAGAAAAGTCATACGATCACCTCACTTAGAGGCGACTCCATTGATAATCCAAATTTGTTTTTATAACAATTATTGTTAAATGTGAAAAAAAGCATTAATTCATGAGGTGACAATTAATTTTTTGAATGTATTAGATGAATTTTTAAAAGATTTAAGCATTTATTAACAAGAACGATAATAAAGATCGGCTTTATATATATATATATATATATATATATATATATATATATATATATATATATATATATATAAAATTTAAAAAAAACAGACAACTTTAAGGCTCCATAGTAACAATTTATTTCACCAGAGAATTTTACTTTTTCTCCTGA